GCTAATCAATATGAATCAGCTGACACCTTGTTTTAAAATTTTGGTTGGTTTATAGGAAAGTTATTGGCAGTTAAGCTTCCTGTCCACCTAAAGAAGGCAGTACGGTCGCTCGGCAGGCATTCGGTCGAAGCGCGGTCACGTGGTTGTTCGGCGTTGGTTTTCGCACATACCTTTCATTAGGGCTGCAACAACGAATCAATAAAATCGATAAAAATCGATTATTAAAAGCGTTGGCATGAATTTCATTATCGATTTGTTGGGTCAAGTAATTTATGCGTGCCTCGCCATGTCGCGGAGCCGATTATGTCACCCGCTGAGCGTTGTCAATGCTGGCTGGCCTTAATAAAGTTTAGGAAGAAAGAAAAAACTCTACCTGTAAAAATCTGCCCTCTACGACTCTCGAGTGAAAAGTAGAGACTGTGAACTTTAAACCAGTTTTTAAATCCTGTTGTTAGGCCAAGCATATCCAAAGATAGGATACAAAGTATCTACCACAGTTAAAAGATGGTCTGATGTGAGAAGCGTCGCAACGAGGAGACGCGTGTGGGGGAGCACAAAATAAATCCACAGTTTGTTTCGTCCTCCTTTCGGGCCAAAAGTATAAAAAAAACTCCAGTTTTTTCTGACTGAGGGGACGAAGGAATAAAAAAAACAAAGACACGAGCAGCAGGTCTGCCTCAGCAGAGGAGAGGGGAGGAGGGGAGCTGCCTCAGAACCACTTATACTGGGTCAAAGTCAGACAGAACCAACAAGAATGAAGGAAATAGTAAGGAATAAGAGAAAAATTATAAATGTTAAATGTAAATAAATTCTAATTATAATAAATTAATAATAGTTTTACATCTAAAAATCATATTTTATTCTATTTTCCTCATTCAGCAACTTAGTAAATTTCTGTTATGTTTCATGTAGGAGAAATACACATTTTTTTCAGTCTGTATTTAATACAACTGGCAAAATAAATTGTTAAAATAGTTATGATGTGCTTCTGTTTTTTAATTCAGGAGATTATAATAAAATCCTTCATTTTATGCAAAGACCCTCTTGATTCAAGAGAAAACTCCAGTTTTATGAAAATCGCTGCTTATTAATTAATTGTTGGTCAATCTATAAGATAAATCAACTTCAGATTAATTCATTAATTAATCAATAACTTGCATCCCTAATTTATACAGGAATGAAATTAATTTTTATCTACTCATATTTATGTAATTAAGCGTTTTAATGATTTGGCCGATTAATCGAAAAAATAATCGACAGATTAATCGATTATTAAAATAATGGTTAGTTGCAGCTCTAGTCCTGCCAGTAATTCCTGTTGTTTTTATGCTTTAGGCTGCTGTTGATGCTGGGGGATGAAGAGCTTTTCAAACCTCCTTTTAACATTGAGAATCAGGCTCACAGACGAGCTGTTGTGGCTGAACTGGAGCGAGTTAAAGTCCTGGGAGTTAAACCTGCACAGAACCTCTGGGAGTACAAAGTAAGTACCGTGGTTCTTCTACAGTTTCAATCATTTTGTCTCAGTATGGCTCACTTTAAGTGTCAGTGTCCAGTATTTCTCTGCATATTTTTAAATAGACTTGGATCGTATTTATTCTTAGACCCTTTAAATATTTAAGGATGTAAAAWTCGCTACAGCTAAGGTTTTAAGAATATTTGTTGTACAAGCACCAAGTCACAACAAACATCATCTCAGGGCACTGTACACAAAAAACAAACAAACAAAAAAAAAAAACAATCAATCTAAGGAAGCCAGCAGATTGTGTTGAATCTCCACTTCATCACCATCTCCCGTAATTAAATATTGACCCCTTGCTCTTTTTGTCTGTCTTTTTTCCAGGCAGCTAATGCAGGGAAGTCTCTGTTCCTGCTGTACGGACTGAAACGCTCCCCTCGTCTCACAATGTTTTATTTGTATTTATTTGATTACTCTGAGACTTTTCTTCCTTTCCTGCACACCTGCTGTCCAGCCAGCACACACCTGGACAAGTCTGTGGAGAGCAGATATCTCTATGCACAGGTGAGCGAGATACAAAACAAAGCTGTTGATCGATTTTTCAGTAATACCTGTTTGAATTATTTTAACGAGCTTTGGATGTGTGTCTGTTTTTGTTAGTTGGAACCCAGCTGGCAACAGTGGGCTGAGTTTCTGGTGAAATACTGTTTGCTTCCGTACCAGCTGATAGCAGAATTTGCCTGGGACTGGTTGGCTGTCCACTACTGGACGTCCCGCTTCATCATTGTGAACACCATGCTGCTGTCTGTGCTGGAGGGCTGCTCTCTGTGGTGGCTCTGGACAACCGGCAGTATTTGGTATATACAAAGAGAGCTTTCTCTGTGGGATTGTTAAACTCCTACATTGTTGTAATACACCATTATACTAATTTGCACCTTTTTTTCTGCAGGACAATGCCCCACCAGATGTGGAACCACTTGTGGAAGATGGTCTCTCAGGGATTTGCCTTTGCCCTCCTGTGGCCTTTTGTCCCACAGTTTGTGTGCAACTGCCTCTTCTACTGGGCTCTCTACTTCAGCCCCATTATTAACATTGACCTGGTGGTGCAGCAGTTATTGCATCCCGAAACAAGGGCGCCGTAACAAAGTGCGTGGAGTCGGTGCATAAATTCTGCTGCACAGTTTACAGCAGCATAAAATATTCTGAAGTCTCATTGTTGATGAGAAGTGTTTATTTTCAGCAGTAAACTCAGATAAAACTGGTTTGTTCAGGTGTTGGACAAAAAGTTTTCCTCTCCTCTGGCCTCGTCTCTTCTGCTCGGTTGGTTGTGATGTGAAATGAGAGGCACCGAGCCGTTAAAGGAGAAATAATACAAAGATGGTGAGACGGACTGGGATTGGTTACTACTGTGATCTCCTTCTCCACAGTTTATTCATGAACCACAGTGATGCAGTTCTGCAAAGGAAAAGAATGACAAAACCTTAATGGTTTTCTTCTTAAAGGGATCCATGATAAGTTGTAACATTAGACTTTATTTGATAAACATATATTTTAACTGTAAAATAAAGACTGTAAAAATACTGTATTTTCAGTTACAGGCTGAGTCATTTCTACCTTCTCCTCTCTGTCAACGCTCTCTGGTTTCATAAAATAGTCGATCGTCAGATATTGTCCAAGATTAACCTTCAGGGTGGATATAGCTCGCTCACACCGAGGATCTATCCACGTCATCTTTACCCAGAATGCTTTGCGTGTAAATAAAAAGACTCTGTGCTAAAATATATTTTGAAAAATCATTTAAAAATTAAACAGCCTACAGTATTTTTACAGTCGTTATTTTACAGTTAAAATAAATGTTTATCAAATAAAGTCTAATGTTACAACTAACCAGGGATCCCTTTAATGGTTTGCTTCTTAAGCTGGCTTTGTAGCACTGAMATGGCTGAATCTCAGCAAAAAAAAATGATGTATGGCTACTGAAGAATTTAAATTTATTTTTCTTTACCTTGTTATCAAATGTCTTCTTGGCTACACAATCGGTTAAGGGAGCAGTTGCTTCAGAAATATTTGGTTTAGTTCATGAATCTTGGTAATTTGTCTTAAAACCATAATGGCTGTCAAAATATGCAATTTCTTGTGTTTTTTATTTGGATTTTATTCTTCTAACATGATTTCTGCATAATTTTATAATTGTTTGCATTCGAAAACGGTGAAAATTTTTTGTATTTGTTCACAATTAATTCAGCGATCTGATATAATCGGTTACTGAAATTCTCCTGTTGGGAGTTCAGAATGCCTCAGCTCCGCTCGGTCCTCACCCTCAAAGTATTCTTATTTTCTCAACTTATTCTCACAACATGTAGTTGTTTGTTTTCAGAAGAAGAGAGAAGAACTTCTCACTTCGACCTGGTGTGTGATATTGTTCTCCCTCGTTGTTTACATCCAGGGGTTATTTTACTCACTCAACATCAGTCTGGCACCAAGATTATTTGAAGTTCACTCCTCAATGTTCCAATGTAAACAAACAATTCATCACTGTTGGCAACAAAACATGAATCTGCTGATTTTTCTCATTTATGACAAATTGTGTAGATTTTTTTCCAATTACCCATGTGTAATCATATGATCATTAATCATAATGATACACAGATAATAAAATTCTAAGAAAACATTTTAAAAAATCACATTTTAAGAGCTATTACAGCTTTAAATTGCATCCTCAGCTCTCCAGAGTTGTAAAGAATCAAAACGTCTTAAAATATTGGAGTTTGTAATTAAGTTGTTCAGGCTTTAATGTTTTGTTTTGGAAGTTTTTATCACAGGTTTTTTTTTTTCTTTTACTCGAGACGCATCACACAAAAACTATACACATGTTAAAATGCAGATGGAAATATTATTTTATTTAGAAATAAATAGTTTTATAGTTGCTTGTATTTCTGACAAATACTTTGCTGCACATTTTTTTTTTACTGTTCAGAAACATTTTTGCTGCTGAATCTTTTTTGATGTCATTGTTTGAGGTAATCAGATTTTTTTTACACTGTTTATTTGCACTTAAAAATTCTACACTGTGACATTGTCTTATGTGTTCTGATGATTAAACAAATGTTTTTTTAAGCAATTATTTTCCAAATCTTATCCTTATGTTATGGAAAATGGCTTGTCAATTAAACCATACTTAATAAATCATTGTTTGGGGGATTTTGTGCATACAATGTAGGAAATAACTTTTCGATACCTTGCTGATTTTGTACGTTTGTCCGCTGACAAAGACATGATCGGTCTATAATTTTAAGGGTAGGTTCATTTTAACAGGGAGAGATAGAACATTAAAAATAAAATCCAGAAAATCACATTGTATAATATATAAATTTGTAATTTGATCCCCTACCAACCAGTAAGAGTTCTGGCTCCTTCAGACCAGTTTGATGCTTCTAATCAACTTTTTACCTGCATTAAAGACAACTGTTTTAAAAAWGTCACCTGCATGAAATACTGTCCACAGACACAGTCAGATTCTAACCTCTAGGCCTACACCGGTGGTTGCAACACTGAGTAGGTTTTATTTATTTATTTACTTCCACTGAGCGATGGCTTTAACCAAAAAAGCTGCTTGACCAAAGGCTGAGTGCCGAGCAGGAACTTCACAGTTCTGCCTGGATGTTCTGGATAAGCGCAAAGAAACAGCTGAACGATAATAAACATATTTTTGCAAACAGATTTGTGCTAAACTGTTTAAAATTTGATATGCCGTTTCCATATTTGAAAAAACTCTGAAATTCTCAAAAGAAAGCAAGTTATATTTCTGCACAATCTGACAGTGATGGTGTCTTAAGGGCTTGTCCAATATTTTGAGGGCCTGTTTGTAACAAAACTACATGTTTTATTACTGACACTTTGGTTTGTCCCCAGCATGAAATACAATATGAGATGTGTGAAAAAAGGGAGTGCATGCATGAATATCTTGGCCGCTTCCAATGACAAACAAGATCTAACATTTTTTTTAGAAATTGTACTTTGAGTAATTATTTATTTATTTTACTCCACTACATTTCTCTAAAGCAGAGGTGCCCAAAGTGGGGCCCGTGGGCCAAATTTGGCCCCCCAAGCCACTTGATTTGGCCCACCAGCAGATATCCTGGTTACTAGGTTGTAATCGTCTGTCTTATGTAGAAATACTATATGCACAAGGAGCTGTAGTCAGATAGTCTTAACTTATGGTGCTCACTTTATCTTTGAATTTTGTTAAGATTAAACTTAAAATACAAGTAACTTCAAGAGATATTTATGAGATTTAAGTCCATATCTAGATTTGCACACCTTATAARACCACATATACTCAAATTTTAAATTATGAAAAGTCCCATGAGCCTTTTCTGCCCGAGCACACGTTGAATTTTCTCCATGTCCATGGGCTGAAAACAAACAAACAAACAAACAAACAAACAAACAAACAAACAAACAAACAAACAAACAAACAAACAAACAAACAAACAAGAAAATGTGGGCAACCACAATGGCTGCTAGCTTAATCATAAAAAATACAACTTTACTTCAAATATTTGCATTTTGTGTATTATATTATTGCATTTGGCCCACCACCCTCAGATTGATTTTAATTTTGGCCCTTTCAGGGAAAATGTTTGGGCACCCCTGCTCTAAAGATTTTAGATACTAGTTACTTCTTTTGGTCGTGTTTTTTGTAGTTTGTGCCTTTTCTATTCCACCAACAATGTGTAAAATTACACACTAGGCAGTAGGTGGTGATGTGCAGCTTTAAACTGGTTGAGAGGAGAATAATTTTTGTCCACAAGGTAGACATGTTTCAGCACTATTGCAGGGTTTTGTTTCAGTCCTGATTAGTCCTGATTTTAACATGGACTCGTATCAAGTTAGAGCATTTTAGACTTTTGTTCTCTTTGTTCTGTTAATGGATTTCTACCAAATAAACTTTAATTTGTTTTGTACGAAAGTGTTTTTAGTTTATTGTAACAAGTCTTATTTTCAATTCACCAAGCTAGTAGAAACATTACAAATAACTAAAAGCTCAGATTAGATTCAGGCTCCTTAATTAGTCTCTTAATACCCGGTTTTATCAAAACCTCTCCCAGGCCTTGTCCTTGAAGTGGTGATTATGAAGAGACTAAATGAGTTTGACAGTTCATATAAAWGGTGTACAATTAGGAAGATGCAGATTTCAGTGGCACGGGTGGGTTTTCACCCTGCAACCAGGGTATTGCAGGTTTAAATCCCTGCCCGAGTGCATACTACCCTTGTGTTTCTGGGCAAGACACTAATCCCAATTTCCATGAGAGACTGGTGGTCTGGAGGGACCRTAGGTGCAGAGTGAGGAGTGAATGCATGAAATTGTAAAACATCTCTCAGCATCTAGAAAAAAAACTTTATATTAGACTATTCATTATTTGGAGTCACTCATCTATCCAATATAAGGGGGAGAGAGACTGTGGGAATGATTTTTATTAAGAAAAATTTGGGAGTTAATTGAAATATGGCTGAATTTTTGTATTGCACTTTGCAATTTAGCCTTCAAAATCACCAAAAACTAGATAATTTATTGTTAAACACTTGCAGTTGTTAAAAAAATATGTCTCCAAAATATATAAAGTACAAGTAGCTGCACATACAATCGTTAAGTGATATTAAGCTAGTATTTTTGTATTCCTTTAACATCTGAGTTACTTCAGGCTGTATTATGTATTTATGTTTGCTGAATTGTGTATGTACTGAATAGGGTTGGGCGATTTTGGCAAAAAAATTAATCACGATTAATTGTGGTGTTTAGCCGATAACGATTAATTTGACGATTAATCCCCTGGAGTCCCTGGACACACTTATCTCCTAGACGCATGAACATTTTGTGGGAAATATTTGCTCTTACAAAAATCTGTTTCAAATTGTCATAATTACAGACTTCAGACTTTACAGCAAATTTTAAATTGTGTTGATAGATAAATAACTTACAGACTTATTTTTTTTTAAATGTTTGTAATACTTGAAGCAGAGAGGAGCACCGAGCAGACTGACAGGGGAAATATCCAGTCAATCTGCCTGGTGGCATTAATTGTATTAATTGTCAAGTGCCAAAAAATAATCGATTAATGTTTTTCTGGCGATTAATTGCACACGATACGATTATGCCCAACCCTAGTACTGAATAACGAGTACTGAAATAAGCAAGTTCAGGTAAAACCAGTTTTTCTACATATCTACACAGTCTAAAATARGTTATATTCAGGTTTGACAACGAGCACCCCCTAGTGTTTAAAGAGTAAAATGACTAACCTCTGACGTCAAAATAATGTAGGGACTGTGGTAAAACAGCTCACACATTTATCAACGCAAACAGAAACAAATGTGTTCTATAAAGTCAAAGAAAACCATTAAAATATGCTATTAGATCCGTTTATCTGTATGTTTAGTAAAGTTAGCAATAAACTACATTTTTAGGTGCATTTGATGTGAAAGTGTTCAACATCGTGGACGTTTTTCACAGCTCGATGTTTTGACAGACGCTCCCTACGCCGCCAATGCGGAAGTGAGAAGTCTACGTGGGGAAGAAAGGTTGGTTTGACTGCGTTTGAGCACCTTCCACAGTAGCAGCGCCGGTGTCCAATCCAGGACTGCTCCGTCCCCCCGGTCCAGCCAGTCTTCCTCCTCCTCTCGTGAGACAAATGGAAGCGTTCTGTCGCACCCGGAGCGTATAAATGAGCCGCGGAGCGGACGGGCGGCTGTAATGCTGCGCCGGGCGCGGCAGTCTCTCCGGCAGGTGCTGCTTCTGATGGCCCGGAGACCGGATCTGCTCTGCGGGGCTCTCGTGCTCAGCGTCCTGCTCGTGCTGGCGGTCAAGTTCACGTGCAGGTAATGAAGACCTGTCTCTGATCCTAATCTGGGGATATGTTTATAGGTTGTAGTCACWTATAATCAGTCACCATCAGGCGTGTTTATGTTGTGCAGTGAGTCTGACGTGGACTAAAGGACAAGAGGATTAACTAATGAGTTTATCTGATTCGGCACACAGGATATTTCTGCTTCTATTAAACTTGTTTTAGTTGTTTAGATCAGGGCACAGAACAGCAGTCAATGAGGTTTTTTTTTTTATCTGGCCACTCATGTTGACAGAAAAACAATATCTGTTACTCATTTTTCATAAACTATACTCATCAGTAATTTTCTTTAATTTTTAAAATTAGTTTAATTAGATCTGCCAAATTAAAAACAGCATAATCTCCACTCCTATTTGTTGTTTTTGTTATTTTGGGGTTATTTTGTGGAAGAACTTGACTTATTGATGCATGAAGCATCTTTTCCAACCTGTTTGCTTTTAACAGTTGTAAATGTGGGCGGAAAGCCACAATTCTGTCAAATGAGTCACAGAAACGAGTTTTCAGTTCAATTTCAGCTTGTTTTTCTTGATAAAGTTTTGTCATTTCCAACCATAAGTAGTTGGGTTGTGGTTCATTCTGTTCGGCTTGTTGATTTTTGATCTATAAATGTATATAAGGGAAGAGGTTGTTGCTGGAAAAAACAAATCTTGAAGCAAATTAGAGGCAAATGATCTCAAATAGATCCTGTTTAATATCTTGATCAGTAGAACAAATAGTTTTTGGTGTAGTTTTGTTTGTGTTTAGGCAGCATATGTGGCTCCTCAAACATGTTTTTTTAACATCCATCCATCCATCCATCCATTTTCTGTACACGCTTCTTCCTTTTTCAGGGTCGCGTGGGTCACTGGTGCCCATATCCAGCAGTCACAGTGCGAGGGGCGGGGTACACCCTGGACAGGTCGCAAGTCTATCGCAGAGCATTTATAAATATTTATTTGTCATTAATAAATAGTGTACTGCATTACACTTTATGATAAGTCTCCATTTGACAGTTATGAATATTTATAATGCAGTGATACAGTACAGTATTAACATGTTAAAAGATGTGTTTCTTAACGTTATTGTGCTTACAATGTAGTAACCTAGTTTGAAATGTTTAATATAACACCTTTAGATGTAATATGTACATGAACAGATTTGTCTGGTTGCATAATAAACATTTATTA